GAGATACTTAGATGATCCCAGTGTACCAGTACCTAAATCTACAAAGCTTGACCGTAGCAAGCGTTCAGCAACACGTTCCAACACCGCCATCTCGATTCCTCAGTCAATAGTTTCCACTGAACTTAAAGCAGTAGTGACAACAGAGTAGAGTGCGTCTTACAAAGGAGAAACATTTGTACAAGAGACAGAAGTAACTATATGCCATTACAGAGGTGCGTTGGAACTCTGGTCCACAAATAGTTATGCACTGTCCGAAGTATAAAACAATTTTGTTGATAGCTGACAGACAGAGAAGAACAACAAGTAAACTTTAGAGCTGTTATTATTGAAGTGTAAATTGCACATTTCATTTTTATATAAAGAAGGACTTGTATTTTGCACCAAAAATAAAAAGATATAATTTTTTTTTGGGAGATCCAGTGATTGGGACATTTAAGAAATGAAGTTATGAAAGGAAACTTGGTTGGTACTTCTTACTACTAACAAGTCTTGTTGACAAATATTTTCAGATCAGAGTTTCAAATAAAGTAAATTGAAGACGTCATTTAAAAGGTGTTTTTTCTCAATGGGAACATTGACTACCTCTGTCTTGTCTGCATGCCAAATGTTTGCAAAGTGTGTGGATGATCCACAAGTATTGGAACTCTTACAAAAATGTTTTGTAAGAATAAAAACAGGAAAACAAATTACAGCAATTAGTCACGAAAACAGAGCAAACAACTGAAAAAAAAAACAGCAACAACAATCATGAAAAAAGAAAGATTAACTAGGTGTTGAATTTTTTTGTCTAAGGCATGAAATTTCTACTAAAAATATTGTCAACAAAAAGTCTCTGACAGTGTTTGAGGCAACTGAGCTTGACTGTTCCAAGGTTTTCTAACAAAGGCAACCAGTAATGTAGGTTAGGGAAGTAACTTATGTTCATAACTAAAAAAGTTCTTTAAGTGTAGATAACAATGTAATTATTGTTAATTATTGTGGAAGTTGTGTACCAAGGAACAGCTAATGAACAATGAATGTTTGATGATTTTGGCACATCAGAGAACACGAGACATTAATTTGCATCACAAAAAAAATATTTTTGATCATGGAATTCAAGAGTCCTTTGAGGTTAGAAAGCAAATCTGTGCTATGAGTACATTGGATTAATTGGCAGTTTCCATTTAACATAACTGACTGCTGGTTCATGAGAAAATCCATATTGATGTAAAGATTTACTAAAACTTAGTTTGAATAATAAATTTCATGATCTTTAAATTATAAACATATACATGTATGTATATCTCTTGGTAAGTTTTGTATAGCATACCTTTTATTGAGCAAAAGTTTTAAGCCTCTGAAATTACTCCTTTTCTTAAACCTTCACATTCAAGGTATTGAGAATTTCTTAGAATTTATGTGGACCTCAGGGTATTTAAATTGCCTCAAATTCAATTCCCAGAAATTCCCAAGAGTTCCACACTTCTTAAATTATAGGTAGTTTGTGTAGCTTAGAATTCCTAGGAATTCCTAGGGATTCCAAGTCCTCACATAACTGGAGTCTTCCTTTCCCAGGAATTTCCAGTAATTCCAAGCTTTTTAAATCAGTGTTAATTTGCATAGTTGGGAATTTTTGAGAATTCCTAGGAATTCCCAGAAAACTGGGAATTCAGTTGCAAGGGTCATTTGCATAATTGGGAATTTTTGAGAATTCCTAGGAATTCCCAGAAAACTGGGAATTCAGTTGCAAGGGTCATTTGCATAATTGGGAATTTTTTAGAATTCCTAGGAATTCCCAGAAAACTGGGAATTCAGTTCGCAAGGGTAACATCGCAAACAATAGCAAGCTGTAACCGCGATTAGAACACTCATGCATCACATAGCGCAGCAGAACCCATTTTTTCCCCCGATAATATTTGCCTGTAAAGAAATTTATAACGAAGCTTTTTTGCACCCTTCGCTGGCAGCACATAATTGGTCAAATGCTAAGGAAGTGATGTACTTTAAAGCGATCATTGAAGGAGTATAATCGTAGAAGTTTTTTTCTTGCTGGCGTTTCCTGGTGCGCCGCTGCGAGCATTGCTAACTAAATGTATTAGGCTGCGAGAAAATAAACAGAGACAAGTCGAAAAGGTTCTTTACTCACAAACCTCTTTTACAATCTATGACCGATATTACGTCTCGTATCTCAAGTTAAGAGAGGATGTCAGCGTACATCGAACAAATTTGAAATATTGTGGCAAGTCGCCCAAAAATCGTTTTCTCTCCAACTTTCATATATTGTAGTCCAATATGTCCTAATAATTGAGAGGGAAAAAAACCCATCTCTCGGTAATTCGGAGGTTGATTCATCTTTTAATTTACATGTGTCACGATTGTCATGCAACTGATATAATAATGTGGAGAAGATTTTTAAACTGCAAATTAAATCTGGCTAAAATGTGGTCGAGCATAACTTGATCATCGAAACAGCCAATAAAATCATAAATAAATAAGGTAAGAGTGTTATGTTTTTTTTTTTTAAAAATTGTAGTGATTTATGCCAGTTAACGGTGGCGACAAGTAGGCTCATCATGTATATTTCATAGTCCCTAGCATGTAAATTTGCTTAGGGTTCGTCTCACGATAGAATGACACAAATACACAAGGAATTTTTTTCAGTAACTTTATAACCCATCCTTTTGTCAAATCGTCGGTCAATGTTAAAACTGTCTTTGTTTTGATGCTACTTTTCGACATAGAAAAAGTATGTCGGACAAAAATATTCACCAAAAATAAATATTTCTTTGCCAGCTTCAATTATGTCTCTTTTCACCTACGCAAGGTCCACATTATTATATCAGTTGCATGACAATCGTGACACATGTAAATTCAAAGATGAATCAACCTCCGAATTATCGAGAGATGGGTTTTTTCCCTCTTTGCATATCTATGAAAACCTCCCAAGAACTACTTTATTTAGAAAACTAAAGTGTCCAGATCCATCAATGATTCCTTTGCCGGCGGAAGTCAAAGAATGTTCACAAAAGTCAATTCGATTGACAAGCTACATACTGATATAGCTAACTGATCTGTTGTATAAGCGTTTCCTCTTACATGCTAGCATGGAGATTTGCTGTTCATTAAATCGTTCGCTGGTGGGACTTTTGGGTATAGTTATCGAGAAGACCAACGTTGCATATCTCAGGTCGTTCCCTTGCGTAGTTGTAAAAAAGACATTTCAAGTCACTTGCGGAGATCCAGAAACTGAAGTTGATCTTATTATGTCACGTGCCGGCATCTCGAGACGCCAAAAGATATCGATAATTTTACAATTTGCCCAACTCATAGATCGAATCTCGTTACCGGCCTTGGGTGGAGTCGTGGTTCCATTAGCAGATGTAGAGTGCCTAAAGAAGTGTACGGTCATGGTAGGGTTAAGTCGATTCCAAAAACCAATAAGGGGATTGGCAAACGTGTACCACAGATAGTACGCAAGACGTCTGGAAAATTCACATAACCTGGCTACTTACCATCTTGTGCAAAATTACGCGTCCCGTCAGACTTAGGTCTCGATTGGGAATTGGTTAATAGGCTACCGAAAATCCAAACAGAGGCGGAGTTTTCTATACTAATGTCTAAGCACTTTGTAGGCTTCACGCCGTCTGGCGGGACGCGTAATTAAGCACACAGTGGTAGAGGGCCCTTCCTCACTAGCTACTCGACGCTGACAAAACTTTTTCCTCTTCATCGAAAATCACATCAAAATTTGTCCTTGCTAAATTTCAAGTGTGCTGCACGTATCAGTACCGCCGGGGAACCCCTATACATAAGAGGGCGAGGATGCGCGCCGGGAATTTTGAAAACGACCCCGGCTTATCGGTACCTCTTAGAGAGTTTTTCGCTCAATAAAATACCTGAAATAGGCATTACCAGGACGATTTTAATGATCTGACTTGAGCCTCTGGAGCACATCGACGCCTAGTGATTTTAAGCATCTACCATCTAACTACCAGAGAAATTATTCCTTTTCTTGCTTGAAGGCACAGAAGCAAGGTAAACCTTGCTTTGCTGATAAAATGGTTCAGGCATCATCATTTTCGGTTCACGTTATTAAGCAGCTAGATTTATCGCGGGTCATCATATTGCTCTAGACAGAAATCATCCGAACGTCAAATTGGTCAGGTCAGCGAGAGGAATTTCTTTCTCGCGAGGTAATACACAGTTATAACCTTACCTTAAAAAAAGAACGATTAACCCCTTTTCGCAGATACCGCCGAATACACTCGCCGACCTTCGCAAAGAAATTTCGCGGAATTAAGTTCGCGCGCTTGCCTGATGTTTGGAAATGATATTTTATACTTAAAGAGCTCCTCAGTATAGACGCCAGAAATGTATTATCAAAATATCTACCCAATCGTTTCAAGCGTTAAATGATACTCCTATATCTCAAGAACATAATGCAGTCGAAATCTCTCTCGAAAATGAGATTCTTGCCAAGCGGTTCACCGGCCTCCCTTGCTTACCCAGAGTCAAAGGTCTGATCAGAGTAGAATATTAGTTAGCTGTCACAATTTAACTTTGGCATTGTTGTGGCAGAACAGATAATCGCTCTTTGTGTCACAAATCAATAAATATGTGGATAACAGACACAACATGCCGGGTACAACATCTGTTACTTGATTCTCAAGTCGCGCAGTCTAAACAGGCTATCCTCAAGTGTCATGACACGTTTGGGTTTAGCTAAGCCGTTTCTGTCGCTGAATCATTTTGCAATTGTGAAAATTGCCATTCATTCTATGATTGCGTAGTTATTTCCAAAGCAAAAATTGTGCGAAAGAGTCTAAAATTTACGTGGCACTCGCTAACGCGCAAGCCGCGCGGATCCTCGCACATGTTTAGTTAATTAATTTCACGTTCGAAGCCAAACACCTCTCTTTCACTTGCTAATTGAGTCCTCTCGCTTTACATTGACAAGCCTATGGATCATTTTAGGCTTCCCTGGTGAGAATTTTTTTCTTGAGCAAAGCTCGTCGTGCGTGTTTATTGATAACTTAACTTAACCGAACTCTCGATGGCAACTCGAGCATGAAATGTGTTCTCCGTATTCTCAACTAATATCGACAGGTTTTTTACCTCTCTTCAAATGTAAGTCAATGTGTTACCATGGTTACTTAAAAACAAAGCAGGAAAACACGGAACTGAACTGTCCAAAGTAGTTGGGTGTTAGGTTTCTCAGGGGACGCCGTTAAATATTTGTGTTGACCACTTGCTTTGCTTCGTTTGGAACTAATCAGTCCCTGGAAAGATGTTTCCTGAGCACATAACTGTATTCATATTTGTGGGTTTATCCTTCGCACAAGGTATGTAAACTTCAACGCATTTCTCCCCACTAGATGTGGTTGAAAGAGGGTATGTTGAAATAACGCTGGAGGTTGGATGTTGCATTTGTGACACTCGTCGTGGACTTATTGTATGAATCATGACGTTTACGCCATGTAAAAGAAAACTGTTTTCCTTGAATAACTCTTCCATTTAATGCAAAGCAACTGAGAAATATTTAAGTGCTAAGATTGGCATATTAGGAGGATTCTTTAGGACCATGTTGATGCAAACGGCAAACAACAAAATGTCAAGTTTCCTCCGCTCTGCCTTTCGAACAGAAAAGTTAAAAATCTGAATACGTTTATCGTCGGTTTCTGTTGCAGGCATCCTAATTTCGATCTCAGAAGTCAATTTCCCGTTTTTGTTTTTGGAGAACGTGGGTCTAATTTATTTCAACCTATAATAGCTTTGAAGAGGTCATAGCGACCGATAAGCTAAATTAGTTACATCTTTTGGTCATACCTATCTCACTGATAACGATTACTTATCATTCTAAATGGCGCGCCGTTTCAAGCTTCGGTTGTCCTCAATTTCTTTTGTTACCAAATGTCCTCGATGAAAACTGGTTGATTAGGGCCGGGTCGCATTACAGACGATTTAGTTGAAACTTGTTTACTCTAGGGACTGAATCTGTCAACACACCTTTTTTTCTGATAAGACCCCTCATTTGTGAATTTTCAAAAATTTCAAAATCGTGAAAAAAAAACATCAAAGACGCCTGTGTGCTTCGGTTGGGCAGACCAATTTTTCCAAATCTCGAAAAATCAAAGGAGCCCGCCGCCAAAGCTGTCAACAGTTGAAAAGAGTGACTCCTAATATAGACGACAAGGTCTCGAAAGTGAAAAAGAGAGCGAAATTTCATCATTTACACTGACGTTTTCATTGCGTGCGGTTCGAAGCTACAGCATGGACGGGCGAGATTTTCCCTTTCCTTACTACGGCCATCAAATGCCAAGAAGTGAGAAGTATCTCTTTCTTCAGGACCTGGGCAACACCGGCACCCTCAATTTGGCCTGATGTGAGCGCCGAACAAAGAAGAGTCATTGTTACCCTGTCGTGACTGAATAAAATTTCACCGCTTAAATTTCCCCTGTGCGATTGACGCTTGCATTTTCACTCGTTGAAATGCGACTATATAAGCTCAATCTTATTTTTATTTCCGGTGTGATGCAGTTTGATTTTCCAGCCCGATTTTTTCAAGCCAAAACGAAAATTGGTCCGTAATGCGACCCGGCCCTAAGCTCAATTTTATTTTCATTTCCGGTTTGATGCAATTCATTAAATTGAGCCAGTTTCCTTTGGCATTTAAGATTTATTAGAAAAAGAGTTGTTGTGAACTCGTTTTGCGTTTGACCGTCTCGAGTCTGAAGGGGCACAAGGAGTCTTTTACTTTAGTCTCTTCGCCCTGACTTTTTTTCATAGTCAATTCTAGTTGCCTTGAACACGGTTCTTTCAAACATATTTTCTGACACTCATTACAGTGCACCGTAACCCTTGTGATGATTCACGTGATTAAAACAGTCAATGTTTTATCCGCTTAAGACTCATTGTCTACTTCCCGTGTCGACCACAAGACTCGACCAGACGAGATACGAGAGACTCTTGAAAAATTCAGCAAGGGATGTGTGGTTCGCTTCATAAAATCTAAGGTCTACCGCAGACTCAATCTCACATAATTTTCCATACTCTCTGCCAAACGTGGATAACATCAACATTGTACGTGTGACTTCTGTTAACAATATATGCCAAGAGATCATGATCAATTTCAGGCAAACAATTTCAGGCCACTTTCTATTAAGATGGTAGAAAACTTGCCAGATTTTAATCAGCATCGATAAGCTAAAACGTTATCGTAGGTGAAAGGATCATTAAAAGTCTCCCATGGCTCATCCCATACCAAAGATTTTAGGTTAAGTATGGAGTCCCCACCGGTTCCTGCTATAAATTCACGCCACATGTATTCGGCGACATGTCACTCACGTTGTGACCTAAGAGTTAAAGAGTTGCTATGTAATGAAAAAAATGAATGTTTATGAAAGAGTTAGGTTATATCTATTTACTTGACTCAATGACACATACACACACACACATATATAGATTTATTTATATTTACTTGACATATGCGTTTGGTTTTGTTGAACGGTTGGCAATACATCACACGGTATTAAACGTATTGTCATGAGGCAGGCGCGTGTGTAGCGACTGGCGTGACACCTTAAAACATTCCTGTACCCTTTTTCAGGAAAAATTGAAAAAATAGTAAAAGGAGAGATAGTAGCAGAGCTAAGAAAATTCGCAGTATGTTTAACGTGAAATGATCCAAAGAGGAATGGGACACGCTTGAGAAAAGTTGTGATACATGATTGTGGAATGAGAAAAACGACCTGCCAAAGCAACACTGTTTTGTCACGTTACCCAAAAGAAGGTCCTGCGTTTAAAATCAGTCACTATGGCATGTTCTTCATATCTAACAGTTTCTGAAATTACTTTTTACTCGTAGCGCAACCTGCGTGTCTTTCGAGATAAGAATGTAAATATGTATAAACTGCTTGTATTCTTTTAATATGGAATATCCTCTCCAAAATGAAAAGACAAAAATGCACAATTTGTTTTCTTAAGTTAATTAGTCTTATCAAGAATACGTTGCAGGATTAAATTAGTTTAAGTCTTATTTTTGTGCTCACTGTTATCTCACTGTTCTCATATATACTGAAACAGTGTTGGTAACCAGCAGTGGATATTTACCGAGATGCGAAGTGGCAAGGTAAATATCCACTAATAGCCACCTCAACTTCGGTGAATAGTTGTTAAATATCTGTTAGATACTGAGGCGTTAACTCAATTCGCTAGTGTCGCAGACCACAGCGTTAAATATGTCAACCCCAGCGCGGTTCAAGCCCACCTCACCAACTCCACAAAGAGATTGTCGTGTAGACGAAGAGCCAACTGCAGACTCATGTAAGTGAACTTAGCTCTATAAACGCATTTTTCCTTCACGCTTTCCAAGGTTTACTTATATTACTTCAATCTAAGTGTTACAGGAGTTTTTGGATACCTTTTCTTTATCCTTCAAAGATACTTCCTCACTGTTTTAGTTGTCCTATCAAATAACCATTGACAAAACCAAAAATCTTTGAGCGTTGACGCAAGTTAAAGAAAATGAATAATATCTTTCAGTGGGTGCCGGCGTTAGTTGAAAAATTATTTCTTTTTTAGCACAATTACGACTAAATTCTCAGAAGAGGAACAGAAGAGGGACAAACAAAAAAGAAAACGAAAACAGAAATTAAAGAGGATGACCATCTCATTACTATTCTCACTTTGTCGGGCATTGTGGCGCATTTTGCAGGCTAAATATCCACTAATAGCTGTTTCGGCGTGCGAAATTGTCTTTTTATGGATTTTGATGTATGCATCTGCTTTATTTCACTAAAACGTTTTGATTTGCTATCCGCACTACGAACTTTCTACTTACGCGATCAACAAGTGGTTTTTGTCGCGACAATCTTCACTATCGATCGGTAGGTGACTGTAGGACTGAAAACACCAGTCAAGTTTGGAGATCCTTGTGGACCTAATCAGTCTTTCTTGATTTTTTCAATGAAAGAGTCGTCGGGTTTCGCTGTCCACCCGCATTTCGTTTTGTTCACCTTGCCTGCACTTAGTAGCGTCTGGGTTTAAGAACATATAACATGGCGTACATTTCTTGTTTGTGACTTGATAATGCTTTTGTTTTATTTCAGCATGCGGCAGGTATACTATTCAGCTACACGAAGATCGTTGGAACGCTAGCTTGAATGATAGCTCCTCAAAAATTTATCGGGACTTGAAAAAAAATCTCACAGATATCGTAAGTGTTTACCGTTTTGTTGAATAGTTGGTGTATAACCTCAGGCTTAAAACAATGATGGGAAAAAGACAATAAATACCTCTTACTAACCGAGATCGAGGTTTGTACCTTGAGTCACGACTGAACGAGCTTTTTTCCTGCTCGGAAAACGGAAGCGAAACTTGTAGAAAGCGCAAGAGTCTAGTCGATACGGTCAAACATCCCGATTTAAATGTTCGGTCTTTGTTAAAAATATTTTCTAGTGAAAAGCAAACGTTGATAGTGATTAGCATTTACTTTATTTTCTCGCTACAGTTATGTGATAAATTGAAGATTTACAGCCCTATGGTGATGTTTTCAGAAGTGACTTTCAAAAAGGCGGCTGGAGATTGGCCGATTGCAAAAGTCAAAGTATGCCTGGTTTTAATTGATATGGAAGCATTACTACACAGTTACACAAAAAACTACACCTATGAAGCAGTCGGTTAGTATCATTAATTTATTAAGAGTCGTACTCTGATTGATTATTGGTTGAATAATACCTCACAGGGAATGAAATTATTCTTAAAAAGTACAAATTGTAGAACTCGTCGTGCACTTCGCGATTTTGTGATGATTAATGAGGAACGAGGTATCTCTGATTATTACCGTACAGGTATACCAAAATAATGTTATCTTCAAGCTCTGTGGATAATGTCAACATATCCCTATTTACTTTACTTATTTGATCTATATTTGATAGTTATTGGCCTCAGGCTCAGTGAATATTGTTAAATAACCCCAGAGACGAAGTCGAATCTGAGGCGAATAGTTGTTTTAGTATAAATGCGAATAACTGTTTTGGTATAATTGCTCGGGTGCTTTCGAATTCTGTTGTAAATTCGTTTTGTTTTTGAAACCATTTTTTTAAAATTGTTTTGAGTTCTTGTATCGAGATCAGCAGCCAATTTCCACCAGAATTTAACAAGTTCATTCAATCCAATCAGCAAATACTTCATGGCAAGAACGCTTTCTTTTGAAAAGTGTTAGCCTAAACTTATTATCATCTTTTGTACTCGTCAGAGTTACATTTTTTCGTGCTCTCCAAACTTCCCGCGTGCATCCATAATTCGATACACGCACTCTAAGCATGAAAAAATTCTTAAATAGCGAGAAAGATGGCAATTCTCGACCAATCAGAGCGCGTGCATCTCTATAATCATTTGAGCAAGTATACTAAAAAAATTTTATTTTATATTTTCACATTTATATCATTACTTTGTCCACGGGAAGTTTGTCCATGATGCAGTAAAACCCCTGTTTTGTAGCTTTCAGTAATAGTTAGATTTATGCTAAATATTTTTTTAGGAGTTACTTTCTCAGAATGGAAACCTAAGGATGGCGAGTGCAAAAAGTGTGACGGAGGAGGTGGACCATTTGTGGTTGAAGGTGTATGTAAGAAGAAAGAACACAGCTGTCGGGGACATAAGTACAAGTCTAAAGACTCAAAGGATTGTGTGACGTATTGCCCCTCAGCCTCAAGTCTGGGTAGGAAAGGATAATTCTCTATAAAAATTCATCGGATCTCTAACTGCATCAAGAAAAGCATCACTTAAAAACTCTTAATGTTCTGCATTAACCACCATTACTTCGATTACATCTTTGTAAAATTGAATGGCGTGGCTCCCTCAGTGCAATTCGATTTCTGTAGTATGATTCCTAAGGAACTGACTGACACTGGAAATATAGTTCTTTTTTATGTTTGATCAGCCCATCGTACAGAACCAAATAACTACGCATCTATATGCAGCACTAACAATAAGATACTACTTACAATACTAATCATAACCATTACGTTTTCCTCAAATGTGATTAGTGCATTAGCTGCTTTATTCTTCACTAATCATTCTGTTCAGCTGTAATCGGACAGTTGGCTGTAATCGGACACCTGTGATCAGTAGCCAATCATACTCAGTCCACCGAACAAAATCCACCAATAACAGAATTGATCACAATAACCATAGCAGCAACCATTCATCCTGAAAAAAACTGGGGAATTTAAAAAATGGAGGAATTTTTTACTTTAGACACTCTCTATACCGGAGTTGTTTGTCCAAAATGCATGTCTTTTCTTTGGGAAATTGTACCAATTATGATTAATTGGTAACAGGAATTCTTGTAGTCCAATTCTGTCAGTAATCGTGCTAGTGATTGACAAATCGGACTCCCGCTTCGCGGTCGCCCGATTTTGTTAATCACTCGCATGATTACAGACAGAACTGGACTACACTTGGTCCTATTACCATTATTTATTGAATGTTACGTTAGTTACACCAGCAACTTTTTTATTTCTTTTTTATAACACTTTATTAACTAAAGTAGGCAACAAAACTTTAAAAAAATTACTAAATCTTTTGTTTTCATTCCTGCCCATAGCAAAACTATGTGACAGTGCAGCAAATATATATTGTAATAAAAGAGGTATCGTCATTGCTATCATTTATTTGTTTATATATTTACTAATTTATTTCTTTATTCATTCATTTTCAGTGGTCGCTGCGGTTTCCAACCTTATTCTGGCCATGTGGATCTCTATTTCTTACAAGTAATGATAAGTTTTTCATAATTAAATTCATGCCCATAGACATCTAGGGGGAATCGTATGAGACGTATTGTATTTCGCCTAAACTAATTTTAATTTTCTGTTTGTTTTACAGCTTTTAGCACGTGCTGAGAGGTCTTGAAGTATGGATCCAATAAAAAAAAAAACTCGAAGTTTAAAGTCCAGTAGTATTTTTCTTTGTTTTTATGCGTGGAATACTTTTGTCTAGACTGTTCGAGTATATATCGAATATATAATACTTAGCAAAGTGTGCACTTTTACTGCTATAGAAAAAGATAGCTATTCTCGGGTGTTTTAGGCAATACTGCACTCCTGTCTTTCAATTCATTGCTTTTTTCACTACTCGTAAGATAATAGCCCGTGGAATGTATAAGATGTTCTTTCCTTGAGCTATTCTTTTCCTTTTTTGGGAGAATTATTTTAAACCTTGAAAAGATAATTGTAGGTTAGCAATGGTTTGTCATTTTGTCATTAAAAGTCTTTTAAGACAAATTCAGTGTCAAGTTCTCACAGTTTCTACCTAAAGAAGGTAGACCTTCGAGAAATTCTAATTTATTTTGTTTCCATTCGAATGTTTTTTATCCAATATAAGATCCGATAAAGATATCTCTGCGACAAGCGGGCAAGGAAATTATCATCGTTAACACTTCGTTGAGCATTGTGGTGCATTGTGTTTTACAGGCTAAAGTTGAGCTTTTGACAGGCTAAAGGATATTTTAGCTCGTGCGCTCGCTTTATTTGTCCAAAGTTGTCGTCATTTTTCATTTTTGGCTTTCAAAGTGATAATGATAATAACAATACAGTTTATTTCATTGGGCATAAATATGTTTGGGCCCTTCTCACAGCCCATTCATCAAGCGCAAAGTGTTTCCCGCGCGAAGGAGATGCTTGAAGCTTTTAACCCCCCTCTGGTCTACAGATGGAAAAGATTCCTTATGCAGTTCTTAGTTCCGTTTAATCGTCGCTAGTCTGAAGGGGCACAAGGAGTCTTTTACTTCAATCCCTTGGCCCTGACTTTTTATCACGGTCAATATTCACGGGTAGGGGGAGGAGCGAATAATTCAATTTCAGGGAAACAATTTCAGGCCCCTTTTCCACGAGGATGGTAGAAAACATGCCAGATTTCAATCAGCACCGACACGCTACAAAACCTTATTCTAGGTGAAAGGGCCTTTAAACGTTTCCAAAAGTTTTTCGGTTAAGGACGGAGTCTTCCCCGTTTCCTGCTTTAAATTCACGCCACATGTATTTATTTGGCAACATGTCACTCACGTTATGACCTAAGAGTTACAGAGTTGCTATGTAATGAAACAAAAAAATGAATGTTTATGATAGAGTTAATGAAAAAACAATAATAAAAAAAAAATATATATATATATATATATTATATAAGAATTCTTTAGGACCATGTCGATAAGCGAACGGCAAACAACAAAATGTCAAGTTTGCTCTCTGGCTTTCGTACAATAAAAATCTGAATACGTTTATCGTCGGTTTTTGTTGCAGGCATCCTAATTTCGATATCGCAAATAAATTTCCCGTTTTTGTTTTCAGAGAAAGTGGATCTGATTTTTTTCAACCCATGATGGCTTTCATAGCGACTGATGAGCAATGTTAGTTGCATCTTTTTGGTCGTAGCTAGGAACGGTCACTTATCATTCACAATAGCGTGTCATTTCAAGCTTCTGTTGTCCTCAAATTCTGTGGTTACCAAATGTCCTCGACGAAAACTGATTGATTGCATTACACAAAAAATTTTTTTAGCCCTATTCATTAAATTGAACCAGTTTACTTTGGCATTTATGATTTGTTAGAAGAGAGTCGTTGTGGACTCGTTTCGGGTTTGACCGTCTCGAGTCTGAAGGGGCACAAGAAGTCTTTTACTTTGGTCCCTACGCCCTGACTGTTTTCCACGGTCAGTTCAAGTAGCCTAGAACACGGGTCCTTCAAACAGATTTTCTGACACTTATCACAGTGCACCGTGACCCTTGTGATGTTTCACGAGACTAAAACAGTCAATGTTTCATCCGCCTAAGACTCTTTGTCAACTCCCTGTGGCGACGATAGCAGTCAGTGTTTCAACCGCTTAAGATTCCTTTGTCTAATCCCTGTGGCGACGGTAACAGTTAATGTTTCACCGCTTAAGACTCTTTATCTACTCCCTGTGGCGCCGGTAACAGTTAATGTTTCACCGCTTAAGACTCTTTATCTACCCTGTGGCGCCGGTAACAGTTAATGTTTTTATCTACTCCCTGTGGCGACGATAAGACTCGACGGGACGAGAGACGAGAGACTCTTGAAAAATTCAGCACGGGATGTGTGGTTCGCTTCATAAAATCTTAGGCCTATTGCAGACTTAGGGTACGTTCTTTGGGAGAATCCGTATCAGGATTTCTGATTTTCGTGCAAATCCATTTTCATATCAGTGATCTATCAAATCCACTCTGGACAGGGATTCATCGGATCACTGATCTGCGTGATGTAAAGACAGATCATTGGATCACTGATCTGACGCGTTCCTTCAGGCGAAGGATCCGAAACTAATCATTTTGCCCAGCGGTGCTCAATTTTAAACAAGCGGCAGATACTTCATATATTAACCGGAAAGATTGTTGGCAATCACTCCACAAATTCTACGATAAACACGAAATAAAATCGATTTTGTAATGTTTAATCGATCGGCCTCTGATCGCAGGTATTCAGGGTTCCCTAGTAGCCATATCGTAATCAATACTTGCTTCTGTTTTAATTCCATCGTTTGAGTTTACCATGAAAAATGTGCTTCTAATGAATGGTGCGCGCTAAAGGAATGCACCCTTAATCTCACATCATTTTCCATACTCTATAACCGACTTGGATAACATCAACAACGTACGTGTGACTTCTGTTAACCGTATATGCCAACAGATAATGGTCAATTTCAGATTCCTTTCTACTAAGATGGTAGAAAACTTGCCACAGTTTAATCAGCACCGATACACTAAAACCCTTATTCAAGGTGAAAGGGTCGTTAACCAAAGTTTTTCGGTTAAGTATTGTGTCCTCCCCGGTTCCTGCTTTAAATTCACACCACATGTTTGGAAAAGGAACATTTAATTTATGGATTGGGCTTATATAACGTTACGTAATCTTTTTCTATTTATTTCGTCGTATTGTAGGTTTTTGTTATTACGTAACGTCTTTTGTTTGTAAGATAATTTGTAGGTTTGTTTTCGTTTAGTTTGCTATATAATTATAAAAAAAAACATTATGTTGTGTGTAATTCGTTCAGGTTTATTCCAGGTCGAGTTCGAATTTATTCGAGATCGTCCAAGATTAGTTTGTTGGAGATCGGTCATTTAGTGCTCAATCTAAATTTGTTATTCGTACTTAGTTCGAGTTAATGATAAATGTTCAACTAGTGAACATGTATTTGGCGACATGTCACTCACGTTATGATCTAAGAGTGTTTATGAATGTTTACGAAAGAGTTAGATGAGATCTATTGACTTGACTCGTATATATATATATATATATACATATATATATATACATATATATATATACATATATATATACATATATACATATGTAGATAGATAGATATTTACTTTACATTTGCTTTTGGTTTTGAGTCAACGGTTGGTAAAATATCACTCGGTATTAAACGTATTTCGATCGTCGTATTGTCATGAGGCAGGCACGTATGCAGCAGCTGGCGTGCATCCCAAAACATTCCTATATCCTTTTACAGGAAAAATTGAGAAAAAAGCAAAAGGAGCGATGAGAGCAGAGCTAAGAAAATTTCGCAGTATATTTAACGTGAAATGACTCAAAGAGGAGTGAGACCCGCTTGAGAAAAGTTGCGATACATAATTGTGGAATGAGATAAACAATCTACTAAAGCAACACTGTTTTGTCACGTTACCCAAAAGAAGGTCAATCACTATGGCAAATTCTTCATATCTTACAGTTTCTGAAAACACTTTTCACTTGGAGCTCAACCTGTATGTAGTTCGACAAGATAATATAAATGTGCATAAACTGTTTGTACTCTTTTGATTTAGAATATCCTCTCCAAATAAAAAGACAAAAAAATGCACAATTTGTTTTCTTAATTAAGTTTATTAGTCGTGTCAAGAATTCGTTACAGGATTAAATTAGTTGAAGTCTTCTTTTTGTGTTAGCAACCTCAGCACAAGAAGATTGTCTAGCAGACGGAAAGCCAACCGTACAATCATGTAAGTGAACTTAGCAATTCTCTATAAACGCATTTTTCCCTCACCCTTTTCAAATTTTGCTCATATCACATTCAATGTAAGTGTTACGGGAGTTTTTAGATATCATATTTTTAACCTTCAAAGGTACTCCCTCACCATTTTAGCTGTCCTATTTAATAACCAATGACAAAACCAAAAATCTTTCAGCGTTGACGCAAGTTAAAGGGAAATATTTAATGTTTTTTAGTGGGTGCCGGTGATAGTTAAAGAATCATTTCTTTTTTAGCACAATTACGAGTAAATTCTCAACTACCTTCTCGTAGAAAATTAGAAAAAAAGAAGAGGAACAAACAAATAAGCAGCACTAACAATAAGATACTACTTACAATACTAATCATAACCATTACGTTTTCCTCAAATGTGATTAGTGCATTAGCTGCTTTATTCTTCACTAATCATTCTGTTCAGCTGTAATCGGACAGTTGGCTGTAATCGGACACCTGTGATCAGTAGCCAATCATACTCAGTCCACCGAACAAAATCCACCAATAACAGAATTGATCACAATAACCATAGCAGCAACCATTCATCCTGAAAAAAACTGGGGAATTTAAAAAATGGAGGAATTTTTTACTTTAGACACTCTCTATACCGGAGTTGTTTGTCCAAAATGCATGTCTTTTCTTTGGGAAATTGTACCAATTATGATTAATTGGTAACAGGAATTCTTGTAGTCCAATTCTGTCAGTAATCGTGCTAGTGATTGACAAATCGGACTCCCGCTTCGCGGTCGCCCGATTTTGTTAATCACTCGCATGATTACAGACAGAACTGGACTACACTTGGTCCTATTACCATTATTTATTGAATGTTACGTTAGTTACACCAGCAACTTTTTTATTTCTTTTTTATAACACTTTATTAACTAAAGTAGGCAACAAAACTTAGAAAAAAATTACTAAATCTTTTGTTTTCATTCCTGCCCATAGCAAAACTATGTGACAGTGCAGCAAATATATATTGTAATAAAAGAGGTATCGTCATTGCTATCATTTATTTGTTTATATATTTACTAATTTATTTCTTTATTCATTCATTTTCAGTGGTCGCTGCGGTTTCCAACCTTATTCTGGCCATGTGGATCTCTATTTCTTACAAGTAATGATAAGTTTTTCATAATTAAATTCATGCCCATAGACATCTAGGGGGAATCGTATGAGACGTATTGTATTTCGCCTAAACTAATTTTAATTTTCTGTTTGTTTTTACAGCTTTTAGCACGTGCTGAGAGGTCTTGAAGTATGGATCCAATAAAAAAAAACTCGAAGTTTAAAGTCCAGTAGTATTTTTCTTTGTTTTTATGCGTGGAATACTTTTGTCTAGACTGTTCGAGTATATATCGAATATATAATACTTAGCAAAGTGTGCACTTTTACTGCTATAGAAAAAGATAGCTATTCTCGGGTGTTTTAGGCAATACTGCACTCCTGTCTTTCAATTCATTGCTTTTTTCACTACTCGTAAGATAATAGCCCGTGGAATGTATAAGATGTTCTTTCCTTGAGCTATTCTTTTCCTTTTTTGGGAGAATTATTTTAAACCTTGAAAAGATAATTGTAGGTTAGCAATGGTTTGTCATTTTGTCATTAAAAGTCTTTTAAGACAAATTCAGTGTCAAGTTCTCACAGTTTCTACCTAAAGAAGGTAGACCTTCGAGAAATTCTAATTTATTTTGTTTCCATTCGAATGTTTTTTATCCAATATAAGATCCGATAAAGATATCTCTGCGACAAGCGGGCAAGGAAATTATCATCGTTAACACTTCGTTGAGCATTGTGGTGCATTGTGTTTTACAGGCTAAAGTTGAGCTTTTGACAGGCTAAAGGATATTTTAGCTCGTGCGCTCGCTTTATTTGTCCAAAGTTGTCGTCATTTTTCATTTTTGGCTTTCAAAGTGATAATGATAATAACAATACAGTTTATTTCATTGGGCATAAATATGTTTGGGCCCTTCTCACAGCCCATTCATCAAGCGCAAAGTGTTTCCCGCGCGAAGGAGATGCTTGAAGCTTTTAACCCCCTCTGGTCTACAGATGGAAAAGATTCCTTATGCAGTTCTTAGTTCCGTTTAATCGTCGCTAGTCTGAAGGGGCACAAGGAGTCTTTTACTTCAATCCCTTGGCCCTGACTTTTTATCACGGTCAATATTCACGGGTAGGGGGAGGAGCGAATAATTCAATTTCAGGGAAACAATTTCAGGCCCCTTTTCCACGAGGATGGTAGAAAACATGCCAGATTTCAATCAGCACCGACACGCTACAAAACCTTATTCTAGGTGAAAGGGCCTTTAAACGTTTCCAAAAGTTTTTCGGTTAAGGACGGAGTCTTCCCCGTTTCCTGCTTTAAATTCACGCCACATGTATTTATTTGGCAACATGTCACTCACGTTATGACCTAAGAGTTACAGAGTTGCTATGTAATGAAACAAAAAAATGAATGTTTATGATAGAGTTAATGAAAAAACAATAATAAAAAAAAAATATATATATATATATATATATATTTACTTGACGTTTGCGTTTGGTTTTAACTGAACTGTTGGCAATATATCACTCGGTATTGAAACGTACGATCGTAGTATTGTCGTGAGGCAGGCGCGCGTGCAGCGGCTGGTGTGACATCCTAAAACATTCCTGTATCCTTTTTCAGAGAAAATGTGAAAAAAAAAGTAAAAGGAGAGATGGTAGCAGAGCTAAGAAAATTTCGCAGTCCATTCTAGGAATGCCACAAAAGTTATGAAATGAGTCATGGAATAAATTTAAGATTAACATTTCCTGTGTTACATACGTAAACATATGTTTGTTCTTATTTCAAAACCTCGCTGGACAGTTTATAGATCGCGGTATTTGGGGTTCCAGATCGAAAGTTGAATTTTTTCCCGAAGGACACCCGCGAAGGTGGGAAGTAACCTTAAACCCTTTCGTCTCCTTTATGATGTATTCATTTTTAACACACGTCCCTGAGAAAGAATCAGGTCTTGTACAGGTAAATAACTTCTTCTTCTTCTTCTTCTCCTCCTCCTCCTCCTCCTCCTCCTTCTTCTTCTTCTTCTTCTTCTTCTTCTTCTTCTTCTTCTTCTTCTTCTCCATATCTCGACCTCTCGACAAATCTAATTTTTCAAAAATTTCTGAGAATTCTGCCCGGTCTCCTGTCTAAAATTCCTTGAAAAGTTGACAAACGGCCTTTTTTATGATATGAGAGAGAGCACATCCATCGATCTGCACTTTAACCCTTTAATTCCCGTGAGTGATTAACGTGAATCTTCTCCTTAAAATATCCATACATTATCCAGCAAACAGGTAATGAGAATACTCAAACCTATCAGGTAGAAGTTGTTATCTTGATTTAACATCAAATTCTCATGACACATTTAGTTTAGGAAATGTGTAGCAGCTTGGGGGGAGAATTTTCAAGCAACAAGTTTCAGGGCGTTAAAGGTTTACCAAAAGGAAGAGTATGGAATCTGATTCAGAAGTCGCATTATGCATATGATCCAGCAACCAAAATGAAATTAAAGATAATTGCTTTGCACACAAATCCAGCTGATTGAAAAATTCAGTCGATGGAATAGAAGTTTGTTGTTAAAACCCAATCTACTGCTAATTTACTCATATTGTTTAATCTACGTTTTTGTAACCTATGAGTGCGAACTAGCGTTTGTTCTTCTTTAGCTTGTGCGATGATTAATTTTGTGGCAGACCGAGTGTGGAATGCATCCCTTACAGACTCTGAGTCAAACGAGTCCAAAGCTTTGGAAGACATGACATTCATATGCATGGTAGTAAGTCCATTTACTGGTTTCTGTTTAACCCGACTTCTCGATCATTTGTTCGATAAGGAATTCACGTTTCTGGTTTCTTCACTGAAGAAGTTACACTTAATAGGGGTCTAAGTCACGGTTTAGTAAAGTTTTGTGGCAGATCATTCCCTAATGGAAACTGGAATACTTTTGTGCCGAAAAAAGGCAGCAGAGGAAGATGTTTTCCTTCCATAACTTCAGCGAGAAAAGCACGTAGAAGGCCATAAAGGCTATTTGGACGTGAAAATGTGGCTTTAACTGCTTTTCTCACGATTTTCTGATCAGACTATTCCTATGAGTGAATTTGGAGCTCCAACCCAGTTCTTAAGAGCAAATGTGACCAAAAATCGAACATTTTCAAAATATGAGAGAGAAGCAACCCACTGAATACTCCGTTTGGCTGAATATCGATTTATTTTCGATAATCACTGAATTCCGCTAAAATGCCGCTGTTGAAGCTCAAAATTTCAGGCGAATCTCAGAACGTCGCGTCTCAAAACAAGTAAAAAATTTGAACCGATGAAGAGTACCAAATCTTGAAAAGCATCATCAAAACGCGTGTTGACAACAATTTGAGCAATTATTTACCATTTATTTACACAATCTAAAAGAATTTATCCGACCGGCCAACTTCTGACTAGTTTAAAAATAGGTCAAAAGTAACCCGTTATTTCACTTTCACACACCGAAAATGTACACATACACAAGCAAACTCAATTTTTGCGCATTTTACGTCCAATCTACGGCTTAGTTAACATAACATCCGCCTACCTTTCACGTTGCTGTTGTGAAGGAGAGGGCTACAGTCCTGAAATTGTTGTATCGTTCACATAAAAACAAAATAACTTGGAAGGATAGTCATCGACTCCTTGATCATACTTTTACAAAGCGTATTTCGGGGTTTTGATTTGAGGCTTCTCTATTCCCATTTCGTTGAAAAGGAGACTGAAGCCACGTGTTTCACAGTCCAGACCTCATTATAAATTAATTAGCATTATTCCGCACGTACACGAGAAACATGTTTCTGAACTAGCAACATTCCGCTTACATTTGGTTCGCGGTTGGGTTGAATACTAATATTTAAGTAATGATCATTTACGTAATGTAATTAAAGCCTCTTTTTCAACGAAATGGGAATAGAGAAACCTCAAACGAACTCGCTAAGACAACTCGAGCATGAAATGGATTCTCCGTACTCCCAACTGATGACTACACGCTTCTTAACCCTCTTCAATGTGTTACCATGGTTAAGTCAAAACAAAGCGGAACTTAGCAGTGTGAAAGATACTTGGGGTGTGACGTTCCTTGGAGGAGGCAGTTAAAATTTGTGTTGACCACTTGCTTTGCTTCGTTTCGAACTAATCAGTCGCTGGAAGTATGTTTCCTGAACGGATATTTGTGTTGATATTTGTGGGTTTATCCTTCGCACAAGGTATGTAAAATCTAACACTTTTCTCCTCACCAGATGTGGGTGAAAGAGGGGATGTTGAAATAACGCTCGAGGTTGAAAGTTACATTTGTGACACTCGTCGTGGACTTACAAAAATGATGAATCATGACGTCTACGCCATGTGAAAGAAAATTGTTTCCCTTGAACTAATTAACTCTTCCACTTAATGCGAAGCAACTGAGAAATATTTAAATGCTAAGATTGGCATATTAGAAGAATTCTTTAGGACCATGTCGATAAGCGAACGGCAAACAACAAAATGTCAAGTTTGCTCTCTGGCTTTCGTACAATAAAAATCTGAATACGTTTATCGTCGGTTTTTGTTGCAGGCATCCTAATTTCGATATCGCAAATAAATTTCCCGTTTTTGTTTTCAGAGAAAGTGGATCTGATTTTTTTCAACCCATGATGGCTTTCATAGCGACTGATGAGCAATGTTAGTTGCATCTTTTTGGTCGTAGCTAGGAACGGTCACTTATCATTCACAATAGCGTGTCATTTCAAGCTTCTGTTGTCCTCAAATTCTGTGGTTACCAAATGTCCTCGACGAAAACTGATTGATTGCATTACACAAAAAAATTTTTTTAGCCCTATTCATTAAATTGAACCAGTTTACTTTGGCATTTATGATTTGTTAGAAGAGAGTCGTTGTGGACTCGTTTCGGGTTTGACCGTCTCGAGTCTGAAGGGGCACAAGAAGTCTTTTACTTTGGTCCCTACGCCCTGACTGTTTTCCACGGTCAGTTCAAGTAGCCTAGAACACGGGTCCTTCAAACAGATTTTCTGACACTTATCACAGTGCACCGTGACCCTTGTGATGTTTCACGAGACTAAAACAGTCAATGTTTCATCCGCCTAAGACTCTTTGTCAACTCCCTGTGGCGACGATAGCAGTCAGTGTTTCAACCGCTTAAGATTCCTTTGTCTAATCCCTGTGGCGACGGTAACAGTTAATGTTTCACCGCTTAAGACTCTTTATCTACTCCCTGTGGCGCCGGTAACAGTTAATGTTTCACCGCTTAAGACTCTTTATCTACTCCCTGTGGCGCCGGTAACAGTTAATGTTTTTATCTACTCCCTGTGGCGACGATAAGACTCGACGGGACGAGAGACGAGAGACTCTTGAAAAATTCAGCACGGGATGTGTGGTTCGCTTCATAAAATCTTAGGCCTATTGCAGACTTAGGGTACGTTCTTTGGGAGAATCCGTATCAGGATTTCTGATTTTCGTGCAAATCCATTTTCATATCAGTGATCTATCAAATCCACTCTGGACAGGGATTCATCGGATCACTGATCTGCGTGATGTAAAGACAGATCATTGGATCACTGATCTGACGCGTTCCTTCAGGCGAAGGATCCGAAACTAATCATTTTGCCCAGCGGTGCTCAATTTTAAACAAGCGGCAGATACTTCATATATTAACCGGAAAGATTGTTGGCAATCACTCCACAAATTCTACGATAAACACGAAATAAAATCGATTTTGTAATGTTTAATCGATCGGCCTCTGATCGCAGGTATTCAGGGTTCCCTAGTAGCCATATCGTAATCAATACTTGCTTCTGTTTTAATTCCATCGTTTGAGTTTACCATGAAAAAATGTGCTTCTAATGAATGGTGCGCGCTAAAGGAATGCACCCTTAATCTCACATCATTTTCCATACTCTATAACCGACTTGGATAACATCAACAACGTACGTGTGACTTCTGTTAACCGTATATGCCAACAGATAATGGTCAATTTCAGATTCCTTTCTACTAAGATGGTAGAAAACTTGCCACAGTTTAATCAGCACCGATACACTAAAACCCTTATTCAAGGTGAAAGGGTCGTTAACCAAAGTTTTTCGGTTAAGTATTGTGTCCTCCCCGGTTCCTGCTTTAAATTCACACCACATGTTTGGAAAAGGAACATTTAATTTATGGATTGGGCTTATATAACGTTACGTAATCTTTTTCTATTTATTTCGTCGTATTGTAGGTTTTTGTTATTACGTAACGTCTTTTGTTTGTAAGATAATTTGTAGGTTTGTTTTCGTTTAGTTTGCTATATAATTATAAAAAAAAACATTATGTTGTGTGTAATTCGTTCAGGTTTATTCCAGGTCGAGTTCGAATTTATTCGAGATCGTCCAAGATTAGTTTGTTGGAGATCGGTCATTTAGTGCTCAATCTAAATTTGTTATTCGTACTTAGTTCGAGTTAATGATAAATGTTCAACTAGTGAACATGTATTTGGCGACATGTCACTCACGTTATGATCTAAGAGTGTTTATGAATGTTTACGAAAGAGTTAGATGAGATCTATTGACTTGACTCTCGATATATATATATATATATATATATATATATATATATATATATATATATATATATATATATACATATATACATATGTAGATAGATAGATATTTACTTTACATTTGCTTTTGGTTTTGAGTCAACGGTTGGTAAAATATCACTCGGTATTAAACGTATTTCGATCGTCGTATTGTCATGAGGCAGGCACGTATGCAGCAGCTGGCGTGCATCCCAAAACATTCCTATATCCTTTTACAGGAAAAATTGAGAAAAAAGCAAAAGGAGCGATGAGAGCAGAGCTAAGAAAATTTCGCAGTATATTTAACGTGAAATGACTCAAAGAGGAGTGAGACCCGCTTGAGAAAAGTTGCGATACATAATTGTGGAATGAGATAAACAATCTACTAAAGCAACACTGTTTTGTCACGTTACCCAAAAAAGAAGGTCAATCACTATGGCAAATTCTTCATATCTTACAGTTTCTGAAAACACTTTTCACTTGGAGCTCAACCTGTATGTAGTTCGACAAGATAATATAAATGTGCATAAACTGTTTGTACTCTTTTGATTTAGAATATCCTCTCCAAATAAAAAGACAAAAAAATGCACAATTTGTTTTCTTAATTAAGTTTATTAGTCGTGTCAAGAATTCGTTACAGGATTAAATTAGTTGAAGTCTTCTTTTTGTGTTAGCAACCTCAGCACAAGAAGATTGTCTAGCAGACGGAAAGCCAACCGTACAATCATGTAAGTGAACTTAGCAATTCTCTATAAACGCATTTTTCCCTCACCCTTTTCAAATTTTGCTCATATCACATTCAATGTAAGTGTTACGGGAGTTTTTAGATATCATATTTTTAACCTTCAAAGGTACTCCCTCACCATTTTAGCTGTCCTATTTAATAACCAATGACAAAACCAAAAATCTTTCAGCGTTGACGCAAGTTAAAGGGAAATATTTAATGTTTTTTAGTGGGTGCCGGTGATAGTTAAAGAATCATTTCTTTTTTAGCACAATTACGAGTAAATTCTCAACTACCTTCTCGTAGAAAATTAGAAAAAAAGAAGAGGAACAAACAAATAAGCAAAAATTAAAAAAAGGGAAAAAAGAAGTCCACCTTTCAGATTTAGATGTTTTAAGTAGTACAAGTCACTCTTCGTTACTCTTAATCCTTAAACCATCTCATTACTATTCTCACTTTGTCGGACATTGTGGCGCATTTTGCGGGCTAAAATGGTGTATTTAGTGGGCTGAAATGTATTTTTTTGTATCATAATGTATGCTTCGGCTTTATTTCACTGAAACGTTTTAATCGGTTTCCACCACTACGGACGTTACTACATACGTGATCAACACCTGGTTTTTGTTGCGACAATCTCTACTATTGATCGGAAGGTGACTGTAGGAATAAAAACACCACTCACATTTGGAGATCCTTGGGAGCCTAATCAGTCTTTCTTGATTTCTCTAAATGGAAAAGTCGTCAGGTTTCGCTGCCCACCCGCATTTCTTCTTATTAACTTTACCTGCACTTTGTAGCCTTTGGCTTTAAGAACATGTAACATAACGTACATCTCTTGTTTGTGGCTTGATAGTCCTTTTTGTTTTATTTCTTCAGCGTGCGGCAGGTATACTTTACAGTCATACGATCTTAAGTGGAACGATGATTTGAACAATAGCTCATCATTAATTTATCAGACCATGAAAAGATGGATGTTGCATATCGTAAGTGGATACTAGTTTGTTGGATAGTTTGTGTATAACCTCTGGCCTAGAATGATAATGAAACAAAGCGCGAAGCGAAACTTATAGCAAGTGCAAGAGTCAGTCGATATGGTTAAACATCCTGATTTTAACGTTCGCTCTTTGTTAAAAATATTTTCTAGCGAAATGTAAACTTTAATTGTGATTAGCATTTACTTTATTTTCTCGCTACAGTTTTGTGCTATATTGAAGATCTTGGGGTCCATGGTGATGTTTCCAGAACTGACTTTCGAAGAGGCGGCTGGGAATTGGTCGATTGCCAAAGTCAAAGTGTGCCTGGTTTTTAAACCCGAAGTCGATATTGATATGGAAACTGTACTACACAATTACACGAAAAACTATACCTATGAAGCAGTCGGTTAGTGTCATTTATTTGCTAAGAGTCGCGCTTTGACTGTTTAGTGGTTGAATAATATCTCACAAGGAATGAAATTATTCTTGAAAGTAAAAATTGCAAACTCGTCGCGCACCACACGATTTTGTGATGATTATAAGGAACGAGGCAAATAAACTGACACAAAAGAGGTGTCTCTGATTATTATCGCTCAGTCATACCAAGATGATGTTATCTTTAAGCTCTGTGGATAATGTCAATATATCCCTATTTACTTCATTTATTTATTTATCTATATTTGATAGTTATTCGCGTCAGGCTCAGTGAATATTGTTAAATAGCCCCCGAGACGAAGTCGAGTCTGAGGCGAATAGTTGTTTTTAGTATAATTGCGAATTATTTTTTTAGTGTAATTTCTTAGGTGCTTCCCATTTCTGTTGTAAATTCGTGTAGTTTTTTAAACCATTCTGTTAGAATTGTTTTGAGTACTCGTATCGAAATTAGGAGCAACTTTCCATTAGAATTTGACAGGTTTATTCAATGCAGTCAGCAAAAACTACATATCTTTCTTTTGAAAAGTGTTACTCTAAACGTATTATCATCTTTTGTGCTCTTCAGAGTTGTATTTTCTTCTTTTGCGTTTATCACTCTCTCTGTGACATTGACAAAACGCGCTCGAAGCATCCATTTTGAAATCTAAACCCTTGCTATAGTCACCTCGCGCGAGATTATTATAGCGATAAAAGGCGAAATTCACGATCAATCAGAGGTCGCGCATCTCTTTAACCACTGGAGCAATTATACTATAAAACTTTACTTGATGTATGTACATCTGCGTCGTCACATTATAATTTTCATTCGACGATGTTCGCCTCGCATTTGTCCACAGAAAATTTGTCCATGATGCAGTAAAACCCCTATTCTGTCGCTTTTTAGTAATAGTTAAATTTATCTATTAATGTGTTTTTTAGGAGTTACTTTCTCAGAATGGAAAGCTAAGGATGGCGAGTGCAAAAAGTGTGACGGAGGAGGTGGGCCATTTATGATTGAAAGTGTATGTGAGAAGGAAGAGCACAGCTGTCGGGGACAAAAGAACAAGTCTAAAGAATCCATGGATTGTGCGAAGTATTGCTCCTCCTCAGCCTCAGCTCAGGGTAGGAACGGATAAAATTCTATAAAAATTTAAGGATCTCTAACCGCATCAAGGAAAACATCACTTATTCTGCATTAACGACCATAACTTCGATTAAATCTTGTAAATTAAATTTTGTGGCAATTCGATTTCTGTAGTATGGTTCCTAAGGAACTGACTGACACTGGCATGAAAATATACTTTTTGTTTTATTTTTCATCAGCCCATTGTATGGAAACAAATAGCTACAGCACTAACAATAAGATACCACTTACAATACTAATCATAACCATTACATTTTCCTCAAATGTGATTGGTGCATTAGCTGCTTTATTCTTCACTAATCTTTCCGTACAGTTGTAATTGGACAGTTGGCTGTAATCGAACGCCTTTGATCGGACAGTTGAAACAGCAAATCATACTCAAAATTCAAAAAACACAGAATTGATTACATTAACCATAGCAACAATCACTTATCCTAAAAAAAACTGGGGAATTTCCAAAATGGAGGAATTTTTTTACTTTAAACACTGTCTCTACCGGAGATGTTTGTTCAAAATGCATTTTGTTTTTTGGGGGGGGGGGGGAATTGTACCAATCATGATTAATTGGTAACAGGACTTCTTGTCGTCAAATTCTGTCAGTAATCATACTCGTGATTGACAAATCGGACTCCCGCTTC